ATGGGCCCTCATTCCAGCGCTGGAAACCCGACCGCCTGTTTTCATCCCTAGCTCTTCCGGGGAGCTCAGCCACACGCTGTATTTCTTTGTGAAACTGCTTGTGGAACGGGGTGTGACAACGCGCAGATCTGCCCCTACAGATCTGCCTCAGCGAAGCCGTTACTTAGGCGCGGCGGGCGCGCCGCCCTCAACCCACTCGGCCCAAACCATCAGCAGCAGCAACAATGGCGCCGGGCAGCGCGCGCCCCGCCTCAAGCATGGATGCGCCGCAGGACGCGGCCCGCCCCTCAGCAGCAGCCAACACCCCCCCCCCGGCCGCAACCCGCGCTCCGGGACCACATCCAACGCCCTCCTATTGGCGGGAGCAGCTGCCAGTCATCGCGACTCTCCGCCAATATTAGTGCGGCGGCAAGGCCCGCCTCTCAAGGGAGAGCCAATCAGCGCCCGCCTAGTCCCCGGAGCGGGAGAAGCCGGAAGGCCTAGCCGGGGCCGAGGGCCCGCGGGGCACGGGCGCCCCGGGACCGTCGCGGGCGGCCGCGGATCGCGTGAGCGTCCCGCGGGCGCGCCCAAGATGGGGCCCGAGCTAGTGTAGGGCCGAGCGGCGCGCCCGGCGGCGCCGCCGCCTCGTTAGTCCTTATTACGTCATCAAAGCGCGCATTAATATCGATCTTTTTTCGGATCGCGGACAGGCCGCGGCCCGGCGCCGCGCGCGCCCCGCGGGACGAGATGAAGGTTCCTCCCGGTACTCACCGCCAGGAGCCCTCCGCTTCACCGCGCTCGCGCTGTTCTCGCTTCCTGCTGCCCGGCACGCTGCAAAGCGGGGCGGGCGCCGGCCAATCGCGACTCGCATTCCCGGCCTACCCCGCGCGGCGGAAGTGAGAGCTGCGTCACCTTTCGCACAGCGGCGGGGGCGGTGGGAGCGGGGCGACCTGGGGCGTGCCGGGAGCTGTAGTGCGAGCTGTGTCGTGCCGTCCTGGGGCGTCGCGGCGTGCTGCGGCCTGGCCGCCAGGGCTCGCGCTCGCACGCCCCTGTATGAACGGCGGGGACGGAGGCGCGGGCGGTCCGAGCTGCACGGAGCCGGCACTGCCCGCGCCCGGTGCCACACGGCACCGCCCGAAACCGGTCCGACCGTGTTGTACAAACTGCTTGCCCCGGGCGGCTGTTCTTTGCCAAACTCTGCTGGCGAAGAGCCTTTCCCTGCATCTCGCTGACCCTCACCTCCGCCGCCGCACATGACGGCGCCGGCGAAGTGCCACCCGCTGTGGCGTCCGCCCGCCCTGCCGCTTCGCACCCGGCCCAGCCCCGGCGGTCACTGTGACACCAGGGGAGGGCCACCGCACGGGTGTCCCGCATCCGTACTCCAAACGCACGCTGCTGAGCCGCGATGGGCCCGGCGTGCTCCTCAGGACGCAGTAGCAGCGGGGTTGGCTCTGCTGCCACGGAGCCGCAGGCAGCGCGTTCGTCTGCGCGCAGTGGAGTAAGAACGTCGCTCCTCAGAGCAGATGCAAGTGATCGGCCTTCCGACTGCCTTTGGGTCTGTCAGAGCTGCGGTAGCTGCGTGCTCGGACAAGCTTGCCCACAGGACAGACTTGTTTTACTGACGTCTCCAGCACTTCTCCCTAGTGCCAAATCCACATGATTTGCTTTACAGTATTTGTCCTCCACCAGAAGTTACCGCAGCACTCAGCATAGAAATGCTGCTCTCAAATAAAGCGTCAGCAGCAGCCAACTAGTTCAAGACAGCCTTTTTTAGTATGTGAAGTCCCAGGCATCTGCACTGTGTCAGCTTTATCAATATGGATTGCTTGTAAAGTAAAAAAAACATTGAGGTTGAATGTATGCCCCTTTTATTTCCTTGCGTTAATAACTACTAGCTTTGCAAATGTCATTATATATACATTCTCAGTTGGCCTGTTCAGACCATTGTCTAGATCTAGAAGAAATTTCATTATATCAGAAAGCCACAGCCTGTCTTTTCAGGTGTGTTCCCAAGAAGGCCAATGGCATCCTGGCTTGTATCAGGAATGGTGTGGTGAGCAGGACTAGGGAAGTCATTTTGCCCTTGTACTTGGCATTGGTGAGGCCTCACCTCAAGTACTGTGTTCAGTTTGGGGCAGCTCAGTACAGAAAGGACATGGAGGTGCTGGAGCAGGTCCAAAGAAGGGCAGCAAGGCTTGTGAAGGACTTGGAGAACATGACCTATGAGGGGAGACTGAAGGAACTGGGGCTGTTCAGTCTGGGGAAAAGGAAGCTGAGGGGAGACCTTATTGCTCTCTTCAAATACCTGAAAGGAACTTACAGTGAGAGCGGGGTTGGTCTATTACTGGTGACAGCTGACGAGGGGAAATGGCCTCAAGTTGCACTAGGGTAAGTTTAGGTTGGATATCAGGAAACACTTCTTTACAGAAAGGGTTGTTAAGCACTGGTATAGGTTCCCAGGGAGGTGGTTGAGTCACCATCCCTGGATGTGTTTAAAAACCATTTGGATGTGGTGCTCAGGAACATGATTTAGCAGAGGGTTGTTAAGGCAGTATGGTTAGGCTGTCATTGAACTCATTGATATTTAAGGTCTTTTCCAACCTGAGTGATTCTGTGATTCTGTGATTATATCAGATATATCTCCTGCATTCAGATTTTCACTTTAAAGCATTTTAAACCTATTTTTGGTGGCAGCACTGTACCTCCAGTAGCTTGTGGTTGAAATAGAAATATTACTGAAGTTACCAGTGTAGGACCAAAATACTATGATTTTTTTTTAATTTCCAGAACAAATACATTCTGCTTATCCCAACAAGGAGGTGGTTTGCACTTTTCTTATTTTTCATTAATCTGTTTTTTTTCTTCTTTCTTTTTCCTGTTTATGTTAAAAGAACAGTTTGTAATTTGTACTAATACCTGTTAAAATATAAAACTGGACTTACTGAGCTGTAACTGTTCGGGTTCTCCTTTTTCATTGTAGATAATCCTTTAGGATTTTGGAGTGTTAAGCTACAGACCAATATAATTTAGCTTTGTGACCAGTACCCCCTGCTCCTGACCTCTGTCAGTGTGGGTGCCCTAACCAACAATGGGGTGAATGTCCTCAATGTGTGAGTGGGTGTAAATGTGCCCCCTGCCCAGGTGTTGAGATTCCAGTGGATGATGACACCTATCCTGCAATAAGGAAGCTCAACAGCACAGGGTGCTGCTGTTAGCTGTCTGTTAATCAGGCAGCAACAATACCTAAGGGGGACTTAGAATGGAAAAGCTGTTGGATGGTAACTCCTGTTGCCAGTGATATCTCCACGATCTTCTTCCTCTCAGGACTGAATGAGTGACTTGTGTTCTTTTACATGGAGCCTCAGTCTAAGTTATGACTGGTAAAAATTTAACCTGATCTGCAGAGGGTTTAGCCAGGTGACCAAAATGCTGCTGTAATGAGAATTCTAGAAATCCTATGCAACCATGAACAGTAAGTGCAAAAAATGTAGATAATAAACTGCAGACATTGTTAATTCTTACTTAATAGCAAATCTCTGTTTCTAACCACAACTGTGTGGCCAGTTCTCATTCTGCCAAGAGCCTGCCTGTCCTCTGGTGCTGGGTGACAAGACAAGATTTAAACACAAAATAATCTCATTTAGAGTATATTTTACTTAGATGAGGAAAAACATGTCAAGCAAACATGAAAGTGATCTTTATCCCTATCTCTATTCAATCCATATTAGCCATTTCTACATGTAAAAATTCTCTGTGCTTTTTTTTTTTTTAATTTTTTTCTAGAAGCACCTCAGTGACACTCAGGAAAGATCTGTGTTCATTAAGATGACCTGATCAGCCTTCTTCACAATATTTGGCTGAGTTTAGGAATGGTTCTGACCCTCCTGCTCTGTGCTTTTCATAGCAGTGCTGAAGAAGGCAGAGAACATTCAGCCAATTCAGGAGTGTTGGCAGCTTTCCCTAGGGAGACCTGTAAAGCATCAAACAGAGAAAAATGGACACTAAATTAATTATGGGAAAATTTGAATCATTTTTTTTCTTTCTTTAAGGGGAAAGTGCAAATCATGGAGTTCCTTTGTTTAACTAAAAAACTCCCTTGTCTGAAGAAATGAAGGAATTAATAAACTGCAGATTCAGAATATGTGCTGATGGCACGATTGAGTAAATAATTATTTTTGAAGGAGGTTAATCAGATTATAAATGAAAGCCAAAAGGCACCATCAAATCCTGTAGTTTAAAGCTATCCCCCATGTATCTTGCTCCCCAGGTGGTTTTGAAAGCTGTGTAGTGTACTCGTACACACTGATATCCCACCACATAGTCTGAAATCATGGACGAGTGATTCACCTGGGGAGAGAGAGCTATGGTGTGGCTTTTTTCTGGCCTCACATATACAAAAGTCTTATGAAATAACTGCTTATTCCTGTAACAGTAGCAATCATCTGGAAGAAATCTTTGCTTTAGTGTGTGTCCATTGTACAGTGAGTTAGTCCGTGCATGAAAAGGCTCTGCTGTCCTGCCTACAGCAAGCCAGATGTATACTGTTATGCAAGAGAAGAACATTTCTGTAGATACCTTTGACAGGTATGCATAATGAAATAAAACCTGTGGCTTTATATTTTGTAAAGGAAAATAAATATGGGCTTTGCCTCCGATAGCATGATAAAGAGCTCTTCTCTTGGTTCTCCTCACTCCATTACAATCTCGAGAAAGAAGGGAAAATGTAAGGAGTTAACTGAAGTTACAATGATAGCAATAAATATGTAATACAATACTTAAAAACTGTAACATGATAAATTGTAAACTGATACTAAAAATCCTTGGACTATACAACTGTGACATGAATATATCATCTTGTTCCTTTGTTATCTTCTTGTTTTCAGAGGAAGTGTGCTGTCAGCATCGGATGTGCATTTATGTCCACTCAGTACTCCCTGCTGCTTTAAAACCTCCATGCCAAGTCTGGTCTACTGTGTTCATGTTTTTGTAAGTTTGCAAAAACCAGCTGACTGGTGAAGTTAGGGAGATCACTGTAGTTTGAACGCCATAGGAAAGAGGTTTAACCAAATATTTTCTTTTACGTTATTTTGAATTTTGGGAAGAAGTTTTAAGAAACTGTGTGTTTATCAGCTCTAAAAACCACAGTGACTTGAGTTCTGGAGAACTATGGGAATCACTCCTTACAAGACTGCATAGTGTCTTAGTGTTTAAGTAACAGTCAACATCACATTTTTTGCTGTTATCACAGCATAAAAATACAGCAGACACTGGTTAGGCCAGTATTTGGCTGGAAAACCTCTAATTTTTATATGGGTATGCAATGTGCATCATGAGTAGTAATAAAATGCACACATTTGTCATATATATTGTATATATATTACATCTTCAGATATAAAGATTTTCACAAAAAAAGCTTCTATAATCTGATGTGCAATTTTTTTTTCTTTTAATAAGCCACAATGAACCTTGTGCATTAAAACATGAAACCTGACGATTTTTCTAGTCTTTTTCATAATTCCTGGAAATCTACAGTCTGGAAAGCATAGAAGCTAAAGTGGTGGGAGTATTTACCTATTTCACTATCAATTCATATAATTTGAGATTACTTCTACTTTAAGACCATGTAATCTTCCTATAAAACTGCACAATTATGGAATATATTACTGCTGAAGAGAGAGAACATCTGACCAATATGTTCATAAAATGTTAACCATAGATGAAAATACAGTTCAAAATCTGGAAAAATCTGGGGGAAACATCCCACATGTAATGCAAGTAACACCGAGATCACTATAAAGTGAGAAAGCAGACAACCTGGACATAATTATTCTCAGCATTTAGGGAATGTTTCTTCCTTCAATAACTGTTTTTTTCCTGGCACAGCCTTCCATCCGTGCATGCAAGACCATTGCAACACATAGCACACTTTAACTGTGTTGATTACAGTGGTTTAAGTACTACTCCCTTTGCAGACACGTAGATGGAGCCTTCACCAAAGCACATGTGCTGCTGAAAGAGCACCCAGCCTCTCCTCATGCATGATCCACACTGCAAGCCTCAGACAGGTGCCTGAGCTGCTGAGAGATCAACGACTTGCCTGAAAGATGGAGATTGAATCCCAGCAGGAGATTTCTAGGGAACTAGATGTCTGAAATCCTGCAGGATCTTTTAGTTATAAATTCTGTAAGTCTTTTCTCTTAACTCAAGCACATGTCTGTGTTAAACAGTCAATAGAAATGTTATCATTAACTCAAAACATTTACAAGCAAGTCATCACAAACTCTGCAATGAAAAGGGCAATACAATTGGCAATTACTTATTGTTAATTATTACTATTATTGCAGTCATGGGATCACTCAGGCATTTAGCTTTCTGGTTCGCCTGTCTTTCTGAATGCCTGGTAGCAGTAGTGGAGAGAACATTCTTCAGCTTTTTGGCCATGAATTTTAGAAGGCTCCAAGCTTTTTCTCATCTCACTTTCAGATTTTGCTTCCTCTTTGTGAGTTTGTACAGGAAATCTGGCAAAGACTCATGCAAGATCAGCACAAATTTGTTTTCTTCTTTTTTTTTGCTGACAAGCAAAAGTTCGGAGGAATGTAGTTTACAATTTAGATGTCTGGATAGAACTCTGTTGGTCAAAGATGGGTATGGGAGCTGTTTAGCTGTTCCATCACGAGTCACTGGCTCAGGACTCTGCTGGGAATAATGTCACCTTCCTAACTCCAGACCCTATAAGATAACAAATGAGTCTGATAAATGTCTGATATAATAAGTAATAATTAGAACATAATATTAAGGGTATATGAGTAGTATTCTTGAACCATTCTTGATGCCAGGAGACAGACAGAAGAGAAGAGAAGAGAAGAGAAGAGAAGAGAAGAGAAGAGAAGAGAAGAGAAGAGAAGAGAAGAGAAAAGAAAAGAAAAGAAAAGAAAAGAAAGGAAAAGAAAAGAAAAGAAAAGAAAAGAAAAGAAAAGAAAAGAAAAGAAAAGAAAAGAAAAGAAAAGAAAGGAAAAGAAAGGAAAAGAAAAGAAAGGAAAAGAAAAGAAAAGAAAAGAAAAGAAAAGAAAAGAAAAGAAAGGAAAAG